GGTGTTGGAGGTGGGGTTGAGGTTGGGGGGATTGGGGGGGGGGGGGGGGGGGGGGAGGGGGTGAGATGTGAACAATAAGATAACCAGTAATAACCTTTGGCTTAGAACCAGTTGCTTGTGTGCCAGAGTGATTCACTCAACCATTGTCTGTTCTTTGTTTGACTGAGTTGTTCAGTCTCAGTGGAGACAACTCCCTGCACACAGTTCACACTTGGTAAAAAAAGAAAGAAGTACAGCCTGACTTTAGCATTGGAGTAGTGATCTGTGAGTCCATGTTTCAACACGTCGATGCCAAATGGACGTTTAACAAAGGTGCAAAAATAAAAATAATAAACTTAAATGTAGTTTTAACAAAGCTTGAGCAAAGCTGGCGAGACAAAGGCTAACAGAAAAAAACAGATAAAATAATTCACAGAAATTATATTTCACACTTGTTGAGATTTAACATTGTGGCCCAAATTATGTTGAGTTCAGGGTTGTGTATGATCTGCTACACCTGGAATCAAACCCACAACAACTGCACTATCTACTGATCTACAGCCAGATAAAGCAATAGCTTTATTTCTTGGTACTTGCTAACACCTAGCCAACTTATTTAGAAAAGTGTTGAAAGATTGTACAGTGTCCTTGTAACAGTGGTAGAAAAATGCTTTCCTGATTTGATGTCTTTCAAATGAGAAAACCTCAGCTGCGTCTGTGTCCTGTTCCAGCTAAAGAGTTTTGTTTTCTTCCTGCTTCACCTGCAGCTCTGAGGCTGAAACAATGCCATGATAGTTTTTTGGTTTTTTTAATGCTCTGTGCTCGGCTCACTGACCTCAATCAGCTGCTGTAGTAACAACACTGTGGTCTGACCACAGTGGCAGCAGCAGCAGGTCCCGTGAGGAGAAGAATCCCACAGTGCTCCCTGACCATCTGCATCCTTCACTGAGGACGGGATGACGACGAGCTGTGCTCAAACTGCTGTCTTCTCAATATTAAATGAGATTTATTAGTCAGTCTGTCTGACACTCCCTCACTCTGGAGCCTTGTCCTCATGTTAGTTTTACACAGCAGATGGCAGTGAGCTAACCTGCTGCCAGCTCACTCTGTGCTCCACACACACACACACACACACACACACTCTTACAGCCAACCTCAAAAGTAACAAATATCAAAACAACAACCAGTCTGGTCCTGAGTCCATGCTGAGCAGCAGTGAATTATTATCACGTATGTTAAGATCACACAGAGGAGAGAGGAGGATGTCTCTGATCAGTATGAACTATTATTCATAATATATTTTGTTGTTGTATGCCACAGCTCACACTCCAGACAACAGCTTCCTGGGCTTCGTGGTGGAGCAGCACCTGAACGCTAGTGACATCAGGCACATTGACGACATCAAGAGGCAGAACCAGTCTCTGGTCTACGGCAAAGTCGACAACTTTTGGAAGGTACTGTGACACATTATACAGCTGCACACCAGGGGAGTGTGTGTGTGTGTGTGTGTGTGTGTTTGTGTGTGTGTTTCTGCCCCCACAGCTGTTGGTACCATCCCTAGTTTCTAGTTTCTGTGATGACATCTCTGAATAGGAATGGGGGAATGCCCATCCTTTGTGGTACTGCCCTGGAGCTTGTGGTTCTAACCTCTACACTGGGATTACATGTGGTGAATTGTTCCGTTTGTAGTTCCTGTTCCTGCTATTTCCCATGTTAAGAAAACTCTTTCTTCTTGGAACTTTCACAGCTTCCTGCTGTTCATTCCTTTGCCGAGTTCAACTGTCATTTCAACTGTCAGTTGTTTAGCACAGAATTATCAGTTTGACACTTGGCATAGACCTGAACAAACCTCTGATTGATCTAGACTTTGTTTTCCGACACATTATCTAATTAAATGCTGCCGCTGCCGCCGCCGTGATGAACTTGTTAATGTATTCAAATACATGCTCACACTGCGGCATACAGACCCCAGGATTACTGTATTCCAGACAGGAGGCACTCAGAGATTCAGGGAGAATCAGTCTTTGTTTAGGGTTTGGGGCTGGGGGTCTGCCTTTGATTCAGTCAGACACTTGTTGGTGCAGGAAGGTGCAGGAAGAATGAAGAGAGAAAAAAACATTACCTTTGGGCAAACATTTAAGTGTGTAAGCATTAATTAAGGTTGATTTGGAATTAAAGAATAACAAATATTCAACATCCAAGATCTAAAATTTAATTTGGGTAATTTAGAAAACGTAGGTATAGTGGTTGGAATTCATGCAGACTGACTTTGGATCCTTAGATTATTTGGTAACCTTTAACTAGTCACCAAAAATCAAGGTCACACTGTCCTAACAAGCCGTGCTTTATACTAGTTTTCTCTGAAGGACTGAGTACCAGAAGAGAAGGACAGCAACAGAAACCGTGGACATTTCAAATGTCTTCACAGTGAACAAAATCAAACGTTCTTTAAATTCTTTACTGGACTTTAACTACAATGAAACCACACAGCCTTTGTAGGTAAGACTCATTCACTTCCTCACGTTGAAAGTTGAAGTGTCTCTTATTTGAAACCTTGATCGTATGAGTGTTTTGCATTGAAAAGGAAATTACCTTGTGGAACCAAGTAGAAAAGCATGGAACCTTCATCATGTCCATGAGCGGTGGTGATGTCAGAGCCTCTCTGTGAAGCCTGAAGTGTTGTATCTTTAACAAGGAGGTATCACAGCTGCTGCTGATGCTGCTGCTGCTGCTGCTGCTGCTGCTGCCTCTGTTGTTGTGTGTTGCTGCTGGTCCTGACTCAGAGCTGGCACAGCGGTGTTCCAATCAGAGCTGCTTTGAAAAGGCCAGAGGATGGAGCCCACCGACTCACAGCGAGCAGCATTAGCTGCTAAACACACTCCCAGGTGTGTTCATTAGCTCTTTCTTTTAATTAAAGGGCCATTTTGAGGCCTTGGTGAAAAACAGCTGACTGAGTGTTTCCTTTCACACAGTCAGCTCTGGAGTTAGCTCTGGAGTTAGCTCTGGAGTTAGCTCTGGAGTCAGCTCTGGAGTCAGCCAGTCACCGACTCTGTTTGATATTTATAATCAGTTATCGCCGTTTTAAAAAATTACAATTTTATAGAGTTTCATTGAGACTTTGAGGCCAATAAGAGAACATGAAGTCAGGAGTATGGAGTTGTAATAAAAGACAACTCTTAGTAACCTAATAACAGCAAAGTAATCAGATCAGATCAGTAAATCTGATTTATTTATAAAAATTAAAAAACACCTTAGGAGTTGTCAGTTCAAGTTTTTTTTTTTAAACCTTCTCCGTGTTTCAGAACATTTATGAAGTAAAATAAAACAAACATGATTTGTTATCCATCCACCATCCATTTGAGAACATCTCACAACAGTATATCAATATAGAGAGATGCTATAGTTTAACTAAATATTTACCTTTTGTCAAAGTTTTAACTTTCTGCTGTATTTATCATGATTCTTGGCAGGTTTCTCTTCTTGTTCTTTATTATATTCTTGCCATTTTGCACCGTAGGTCAGAGAGGACTGAAGTTGTGCCATAGTCCTGTATGTATGGCATATTTGACAATGAAGGTGGCTTTGACTTTGAGGTTTTAAATTATTTTGTCTAATTTGTAGTCATTTCACTGATGTTTAGCTGCTTTAAACCAATGTTTAGTGATATTTCATGCTATCTCTAAAGGTTTTGCTGAACAGGTTGGTAATGCAGACTAAAAAAAAACATTTTTCATGGAAAATACAAATTCAACTTTACATGTCCTTCTTTAAGACTTCATCAAGTGATGGTGTTTTTTCTTGATCAAATAAAAACCTTGTCATGTCCTTTTTTTATTTTTGTAGTGTTTTTGGCTAAACATTTTATTTATACATTTAATATATACATTTTTTGTTATTATTTAAATTCCTTTCACATGCAAATATTTAGTTTTTTTGTTTTGTTTTTTTAAATAAAAAATGACAGCTGACTTGATGATCAGAGGTATCTGCTAATGAAGGCAGTCTTCGACTTTGGATTGTAGCTCCAAACATGAACTCCTGCAAATCAAAGGAGACAATGCTGTTAGCCTGAAAATAAAATGGCCTCTCTGAAGGAGACGTTACCATAGCAACTCAGTTAAAGGAGCAGGGAGGGAGGGAGGGAGGCAGAGAAGAAATATCACCTTCTGCATTGTATGAGAGCTCTGCAGATCGTTGTGTTTTCATTGTTGCCGATTATAGATTGAAGAGTTTCAACCAGGACGTTTTGTTATTGTAAAAGACTGAGTCACTGATGAAAAAGAGAAAACACAAAATTGACAGTCTCCGTGTCTGTTCTGCACACTCTGTTCCTGAGGAACATCCGTACTTTCAGTTCTCCTTTTGTCCTCCACATTTTTTCCTCTCTCCACATTGTATTCCTTCTTACATTTGTCTAATCATTGAGGTGATCACCATCTCTGTACATGTGGCCATTAATCTGACTCTTTACATAATAATCCCTGATTAATCATTTATACAGCTTATTTTATCCTGCATAAATAGGTTTGGATCTAGTGATGTGGTGACAGTAATATTAGGGATGGGATTCCTCTAATATTGGACCAGACATTAAAACAAACACAAACGATCACCTTCATGTTTAATTCAACTTTGTTGTCATTTTATTCCTTCCTTCATGGATGAAGAATGTTTGTTGTGCACTTTAAGCCTGGTGTTTGTTAGATGTCTTTACAACTAAAATGTGAAAAGACAGGATCATTGTCTGTATGTGTGTGAAATGAGTTGAGAGAAATCCACCATGGTGACACTTGAAGAAATCTAAAGTTCCCCTTTTTCACCACATCCCTGCTCATTTCTGCCCTTTGGTCTCATACTTGTATTTTTTATCAGGAAGTTTTTCCACTTTAGAGTCACTGAAAACATGTTGCTAATCTTCCCAGCAGGAAACCTGTAGCATTTCTTTGACTTAAAAGACACAACTCTGGCTGCTGTCCAAACTATGGGCAGTTGTTGTGCGAAATGAAGCGTGGGACGGGAAGCTGAATAAATAACTCCTTCTAGATGCTGTTTTTCCAGCCCTGTCATCCTGGGAATTTTAGAGCATCACTCAGTGTGTGTTTGCTAAAGGATATGCATCGACGTATCACAAACTGACGTGTGTAGGAGTCTGTACACAACAAAAGCAAATAAGGTGTACATGGAAAGTCAAATACAATACGAGACAAATAAAAAAAAAAGAAGCTATGAAAGCACTGAAGCTATTTCTCGATGTCCACTCCGTCCGTGTTTCCATCTGAGACTCCCTTCACTGTAGAATTCTGAATGATGTCTTCTGCACCAGGTCAGACTGACAGAGGTCAGAGCTGTAGGGAGGATGTGCAAGGATTTTTCAACAAAGCTCAAGTGTCGTATGTCAAACAGTCAGGCTGTGGGAGAAGTCCTTCATTTATGTATCTCTGTCCTTCAAGAAAGTTGATTGGGATTATTTATTCTGATTACCAAAAACCTGTGGCCGTAACTTTTTGAGCTGACATTTTTGCTTCCAACGCCAACTACTTGGTAGGCCCCTCATTGTTAGCTTCGCTCTCTGGGTCGTATTGGTAAATCGCTGTATCGTCTCCAGTGACACATTGTGTAAAGAATGGGTTTTATTTGCCCTAATTCTGATTAACTGTTTCAGAATGAGATCTTGGAGCCAGTTTGTCTTCCAGCAACAGTTCAGGGACCCACAAGCTGAGATTCAAACTCCATTGGCAGTTTCATTCTGTAATTTTCTTCTACAGAATTCTACACAACAGTGACATTTCTTTCATTTTTCTGGTCTTTCCTGGGGGTTGTTTTGGAACAATCAATACTTATTGCAAGCTTAAACGACAGCTGATGATCCTAAAGAGTTCTTTTACAAATCTGTATTTTAATTTTTCAGGACTGCACAAGGCTACTCAAGGCTTGACATAGATATAATGAAAAAACCAAACCAAATGTTGAGAGACATCCAAACATCTCCGGTTATAAAAATGAAGCACCTTTTGAAACTATTACACGTGACGTCCTCTTCTACTGGTACAGATGTGAAGACGATGGCTGCCGTCTCAGGAGGATGGACACATTAATAGT